CAGCATGAGCCAGAAAGGCAGGCTTTCCTTGGGTCATGGGAAAACACTGCTTGCAGGCACACTGTGCTGATTGTGTGTCAGAAATCAGAGAGAAGGCATAGTTATTGTTTTAAGCTGGTCTCAGTGTGTATACCACAGTTGCAAGATGCCTTCAGCAATAACCTTCAAGAAACTTTGAATAAAAGAAAACAAGGTTTGCCCTAGCTGGTTTGGTTTAGTGGATAGAGGGTTGGCCTGCGGACTGAAGGATCCCAGGTTTGATTCCTCAATCCCTAGTAGGGGGCATGCTGGAGGCAGCCAGTCAATTCTCTCTCATCATTGATGTTTCCATCTCTCTCCCTTCTCCTCAGAAATAAATAAAAATATATTTTAAAAAAGAAAAAAAGGTTTATTATTCACAGTTTCTGGAGATTCCACAGTGAAGAGGTGGAGCGGGGAAGGGAGAGAAAGAGAGAGAGAGAACGCGCGCCTGGGGTTTTGCTTTTATTGGTGTTGAGGGTGGGAGCCTGGGTTTCTTGGGTGCACTCTTTATTAGTGAATGTAAAGCATAAGAGCAATATCTAAAGGCAAGAAGACAAAGACACAAGTCAAACCAAAGATCTCTAAAACAACGGAACTTTGGGGATGGAGAGCAGCCTGGCTCTTCTAGTCGTGTGGCTGGCACCGTGTTTACTCCCGACAGCCGTCTTTGAAGTGGATGCCTGGGCAGTCAAAAGCATAAATCAGGCACTTGCATCACAAAATAGACAAACAAAACACAGGCATTTGCACTACAGCTCTGGCGGAGAGGACGGGGCCTCTGGGAGTAAGTTGGAACAGTTCACAGTGGCCTGGCTCGTTCTGCTCGGGGTAAGACGTCTGGAACAGCTGGGGACAGACTTGCTCATTGGTGTTCTGAGAACCAGTTCACACAGGGCAGAAAGCAGCGGGCCACAAACTGGTTTCATCAAATTGTTTGCATGTGTCCTCTGCACGCTGGGGTCTAAAACCTTGCCCTCAGTACCACTGGATATAGAGGCATAGTGGCTTGTTTGCCCAAGATTGGGATGAGACTTGGCTTCTGGTGTATGCCTCTAAATCTGTTCCGCTGTCACCAGGGGTGTCACTGAGTGGCTTGGGCTCCAAAAAGACTCCTGGGAGTTAGATCCAGCCACGATCCTGCCAGGAACAAGCACAGTGTCTGCAGGCGCATTGTTTTTTATGGTATTAGAGCTTCCTTTACCCATATAGAGGCAGGCTTTTCCCTATGACCAGCCACTTTGTAAGATATTTTTCTCCCTAAATTTTTATTGTGAAATTTTTAACCAGTAACGTTTTTAAAAAGCAAATAACTTGTTTGGAAGATATTCATTTCAGAGGAAGTTTTCCCACTAACAAGCCAAATGTCTGCTCCTCAATGAAAACTGGCTTAGTGCAAGGTGGGTAGCAGGAAATTTGTACTGCAGGGATGGCTATGGGAAGCAAATGACCACAAGAGGGCAGTAAAAGCCAGTGGATGATTGAGGAACTTAAAAAAATACTGATTTTTAGAGAGAAAGAGGAAGGGAGAGAGGGAGACACTTAATGCATTTACTGGTTCTTTTTTCTTTTTTGTTGACTTCAGAGAGGGAGAGGGAGAGAGAGACAGAAACATCAATGAGAGAGAATCATCAATCAGCTGCTTCCAGCATGCCTCCCTATAGGGATCCAGTCCACAATCTGGGCATGTGCCCTGACCAGGAATTGAACTGTGACCTCCTGGCTCATAGGTTCACAATATCATGGCACCTCTATAGCAAGAAGTCTCCTGGTCTGTATTTGGTTGGAGGAGGGAGAATGGGGGAAGAACAGGTATTACCAGGAAATATGAGCCCACCCACCCCACCCCATCTTCCTCCCCTTTCCAGGAGGCCAGAGAGGCCTGGGCTGGGTTAGGGGATGGCCAGGATCTTTTGTTTTCAGATCTGAGCTCCTTCTCAAGAGCTGCCAGACTGTGCCAGAAGGTGTGGAATGAAAACATTTGGTGTATTTCAAGAGAAACTGCTGTGGTCCTTCAGGGGATTGAAAAAGGCAAGTGGCCCCACCTCTTGTGCCTGGTTTTCTGGGACGGACGGAAAAAGACCAAGTGGACTCTGCACTCACGATACTGCAGTCCTCTGGGTGGGTGTGGCTCCTGAAGGACTGGTGAAGCTGGCATAATGTGTAGAACTGTTTTCTTCTGAAGTTCATGCTGGCTAGTACAGATCTCCAGCAGGAGGGCTGCTGGCATCACCACAGAGCTGCACTGTGCTCTGAGAGCTGGAGCTCTATCCTGCATGGAGGGCGGGGGAGTCTTCCTGCCTCCCTGCTTCCCTCCCTCCCTTCTCCTCTCCCTTTTTTCTCTTCTTCCTGGGAAATTTCACATGTAGGTAAAAATAGAAGGAAGAGAACAATGAGCCCCTTGTATCTACCAGCCAGCTACAATGAGTATCTCCTGACCACTCTTATTTAATCTCTAGCCACCCCCCTCAACTCCCACCACTGGATTATTTTAGAGCAAATCTTAGACATTATAAGATTTTATCCATAAATATTTTAGGCTGTATCAAAATGAGAAGCAGCATGCCTTTATTTGAGATCAGAGAATAGCTATTTGGGAAGGAGAAAATTTTTGAAGCCCAAACACAAGGCCATTATCACACCTTGCCATCTCCTAATCCTCAATCCTTACTCATATTTTCCTGATTTTATCAGGAATCTGTTCTAGCTGATTGGTTTGAATCAGGATCCACCTGAAGTCCACACACTGCATTTGGTAGATGTGTCTTTAGATCGCTTTTAATCTACAGGCACCTTCTTGGGACTTTGTAAGCCTGGGAGAACCTTAGATGATACAGAAAGGGGGTAGGGCTCCCTGCCTCCCAGGGTAATATTAGAGTGCTGGTACTGTTTTCATTTAATTTGGAAAAAGAAGGGAGATTTCCATTTCTTGCATCCTGAGCATAGATAATCTCATTGGATTATCACAACAAACCCATAAGGTAAGTTATGCCTAATTTACAGATGAGGAACAAGGGAGGCTTTCCAAGTAAGTAGGAGTGACTATTTAATCAGAAAGTTTCACCTTGTTTCTCTTCAGCATTTCTGTTTGCCCTGGGACAAGAAACAGGGGCAGCTGCTACCACTGAGAGCACAGAGCCCTCTTGCTAGTTGATTCCATCTGGAGAACTTCTGAGAATGAAAAGGAGGGCTAGTTACGAAGACAGCAGGCATAAATTGCACGTGTACTCACCTGCATGAAACTCCCAGTTGCTCCACATCCTTACCAACACAGCATGTTGTTGGCTTTTAACTTGTGCATTTTCATTACTCATAACTACCACAGATATCTATGGTCTTCTTTTTGTTCCCATTAGAATTTTTTTATTAAAATACTTTATATGTCATAAATGTGACACATATATATGTACCTATAAGGTATGAAAAATAATAGAATGATTCCTTATATGTCAAACATCAGCTTAAGAAATAGAAAACTAAGAAAATCTTTAAGGCCCCCTGTCGGCCTCTCCCCAAATGCATCCTGTCCTTCCTCACCCCCATGGTAACCCTGCCCTGAAATTTTTTTTAAATTTAATTTTATTGTTTAAAGACCCTGAATCTTTTTTAAGACCCTGAATTTTTTTAAATAAATATTTTTTATTTATTTCAGAGAGGAAGAGACAGAAACATCAATGATGATAGAGAATCATCGATCAGCTGCCTCCTGCACACCCCACACTGGGAACTGAGCCTGCAACCTGGGAATCGTGATCTCCTGGTTCATACCACTGAGCCACTCCGACTGGGCTATTGCTTCTAATGCTCCACAGGGGATTCTAGTGAGTGGCCAGGGTTAGAACCACTGGATGGTGAACCTGTAGATCCCAGATCATACTTGAATTTGTTCTCCTTAGACATAGCTCATTTTCTTAATGTATTATTTAATTTAAAACTACATTTTGCTTTTGCCCAAGTCTTGTCATCAACTTTCCTTTGCCAGCAGGAAGCAGCAGAAAGAAAGGGGCCATATAGTAGGAAACAGAACCTGGAACAGTTAAGTGTTGGAACACAGAGCCAGTTCTCTGGAGGTATCCAGTGCCACGACAGAGCCCAGAAATCAAGCATTTCTTTCTCTGTTGTTGTAGGTGAATCCCCCCTCCCTTAATATATTTTTATTGATTTCAGAGCGGAAGGGAGAGGGAGAGATAGAGACATCAATGATGAGAGAGATCACTGATTGGCTGCCTCTTGCACGCCCCCTACTTGGGGATCAAGCCCACAACCCAGGCATGTGCCCTTGACTGGAATGGAAGTGGGGACCCTTCAGTCGGCAGGCTGACACTCTATCCACTGAGCCAAACCAGCTAGGGCTTTTGTGCTTTTTTAAAATCGAAAACGCTACAACATTATAGGGAGCACAATCTGGCTAATAGGAATTAATTTTAATTCAGTGAATTCAAGGTCTGAGGCCAAGTCCCTCATGTGTAGATGTGGGAATGCCTGTGTCTTTCTGAGGCCTTCCAAGTCCTCAGCAAGCCCCAGGGCACTTTTAGGAGGGAATGGTTAAGTAATGAGGCAATGTGACTCTCTGAATCACAGTGAAGATGGCGTCACTCACTGTTTTAAAGACTGTCAATGGTAATAAAAGCTTTTACTTATTGGGTACTCCCTATGTGTCAGATACCATACACTACCAGATATGTACAGTACCTTGTTTATTCTCAGCAACCATGCAAGGTAGGCAGGTATGAAAAGTTCTACTTTAGAGATGTGGAAACTGAGGCTCAGAGAGGTTCAGTGCCTTGCCTGAGGTTGCAGTGAATTAGTGGTGGAGGTGGGATTACTACCTCCCCTGGCTGAGGCCAAAGTTCCAGTTCCACTACCCTCGCTGACCCAACCCCAGGAATTTCTCTTCTTCTAGATAAGTCTCATTGGCCCTTCAGTTTCTGCCTGCCTATTCTTGTCTTGGCTTCATTTCTATGAAAAGCAACATGATTTCATTTTATGCTGAGCCTTCTGCAGCAGCAAGTGAGAGGTGGATGTGACAATGTGCTGGGAAGTCTGTGTTTTCCCATTCTGGGCTGAGATTCTAGGCCACTGCACGGAAAGGGCAGTTCTGCAGCCTCTGGTGTTGCCAGCGCTAAGGGTGAGAGAGAACATTCCCTGGGGTGGGGCCACTGCTCCTGAACCTCTTTCTCACTCCAATTTCTAGGGAGCAGAACAGACTCGCTCCTGAGTTGTAGCCCCCAGGAACGCGAGGCCTAAAGGCCCAGTGATGAGGATGTGGGGTGGGTCCTACAGCTGTGAGGGAGGAAAAGTCACCTCAGGAAGCAGGTCAGCCCCCAAAGCACTCTGGACTTTCCATCCCCTTAAAATTCAGAATTTCCACAGCGTGTGCCCCTGGCTTCAGGTCCACAGGAAATGAGCATCTGAGTCTAGGCCTCTCCTGTCTGGCAAAGGGCTTTCAGCGAGTGCTCAGAGGGAAGGAAACTGCTGCTCTGTGCTCATTAGGAAAAGGGAAGCAGGGCCGCCCACAGCATGTGCTGCTCTTCAGGGGACTGCGTGGATTGTTCTAAAAAAGGAAATTGGTGCAAATGAGCTTAAATGAAGCAGAATTAAAGCTGGCAGGTAGTGTAGCAGCTGCTGGCAGACAGGTAAACAAGATGGAAAGGGCAAGTGAACAAAGAAGATGAAGTCAGGTGTGGGGAAGAGGTGGCCCAGGTCTTCAGGACAGGCCAGGAGAGCAAAACATCAGCCTTAGGGCAGAGAAGGCCTGGGCAACAGCAGCTGGTGCTGTGGGCTGCAACCTGTCACCTGGGAATTTCAATTCAATCAATTCCATTAAAACTGAGTGCCTATGAGGCAGCAGGCCCAGTGCTAGGTACTGAGGACATAGCAATGAACAAGATACACAGGTCCTGAGATCAGGGGGCTGAAGTTCTAGTGAGATGAAGGAACAGGGGAGAGAAAATAAATAAGATTTCAGTTAATGATGATAGCCGTGAGAGCAATAAAAAGGGATGATGTATGTGTGAGTTTGTGTGTGAACTCTTAAGAATGGGTAGTTAGGAAGGCCTCTATGAAGGAGCGGACAAGGGGACACTGGGGGTAATCATTAAGGAAAAATATCTTCTACATCCTTTCCTTGGGAAGGAAATACTCGGTGCTGCACTATCAGACAACAAATAGTTACCTTTTCCATTTACTTCTTTCTGGTCCAATATCATAGCCTGAGGAGTCCTCAACTTAACCTTACTTGTGGGTGAGGGGGCATAGCTCAGACAGATGCAGTAGCAGAGGAAATTCTCAACTGTCAGCCTGAAGGGAACAGCAAGATTCTATCATCAGCTGAGCAATTGCTATGCTGCTCATATATAACTTATCTTAAAAAATTGTTTTTCCTTTGGGAATATTTGAGATCTACAGAAAAATTATGAAGATATTACAGAAAATTCCTGTATAGTCTTTACCTGGCTTCCCCTATGGTTAATATCTTACCTAACCATAGTGCATTGGTCAAAACTAAGAAATTGACAGTGGTGTCCTGGCAGGATAGCTCAGTTGATTAGAGTGTTGTCTCAATACATTAAAGTTGTGGGTTCAGAAAGGTCTCTCCTTGCTCAAAAATTTCCCCGTGCTTGAAAACACTGAACCCAGAGAATACAGTATAGGTTGCTCAATGTGGCATACACAGATCCTCATGGTCCACCCAACCTTCCCTTTGCTGTCACCACCTCCCCACCACACACACACACACACACACACACACACACTCCTGCACTGTATTGGCAAACCAGGGACACCCAGAGCTCCTTCCAGATCCCTGAACATAACATGCTCTCTTCATCTCTCTACCTTGCACATGCTGATCCCTCCAGAACTCTTCCCATCTGACAGCAAACTGACTCTACCAGCAAGCCTACGCCTCCTGGAGACCTTTCCCAAGCACCTTGTACATTCCTCAGGTACAGTGCCACGCTCTTGGTCCGACTGATGCTCCAAGGGACCTACCCAGCAGCCAAATCCCCATCTTAATCCAGCAGAGGAAGCATGGGGCAGACACTTTGTATCTCACCCATGGCCCTAGTTTCCTCTCAGAGGTGGGAGGGACATCAAACCATGTTGGCTAGCCCTCCCCAGGAGCCCTCTCCAGCTAGAGAGAGGAGGAACAGTCTGGAGGATAAGGAACATCTGTGCATGGGACCAGCTGTGAAGGTCAGGAGTGAAGGAATCTGCCCTAAGGCCAAGTTCCACTAGGTGCCAACTCTTTTACCTTGGGCAAGCTACTTAGCTCTCTGTGCTCCACCATCCTCAGCTACAAGACCGATTAATCAATAAGACCTAGCATGTTGTACTCGGTGAATGCTCAGCAGGTGCCAGTTCATCCTGGATTCATTTCATCCACATCTGGCCAGCGAGACAGGGATGTTAGCTCCACTCCACAGAGGAGGCAATCAAGGCACTGAGGAAGCAGTAGAGCTGCCTGCTTCTTCCCCCTGCAAAACATTGCTCAGCTCTCTCCCACTCTCCTGGAGGTGGCAGCAGCAGCCATAGCGGAGTGTGGGGCCCCAGGTCGGAGTTGTGCCCCAGCCCAGGCTGAGTGAGCTGATCCTGCTTTTCTTCTGCTCATTCTACATCCTTGGTGCAGGTATAAAGGAACACCCACATTTTGTGAGGTCTTGCTATGTGCCAGATGAGTACAGAGCTGAGGGCTATGATACCACATCCATTCCCACCAGCTCCAAGAGGCTGGAGTTTTGCCTCCACATTACTTAAGTCCAGGATGATTTAGCCAGGGTTGCCCGGGAGACTGGCATACAGAAAACACACTATTCCCCTCTCCTGGACCTCAAGTTGAGTAAGTCCTGCTCACCACCCTTGCACTGTAATTGCAGCCTGGGTGCCCCTCACTGTGGGGCTGAATCACTGGGTAAGACCAATTTAGGATCACAAAGACCCTCTGTTAAACATGTGAACAGTTATATGGAGCCTGAAGCTTCACTCTGCTCATCTTTGCTCAAGTCTCTTGGCTTATGCTTAGGGTACAGTGCACAACCCACACAACTGCACACAGCAGCTCAGAGGAGTCTTTTTGGAGCAGAGCTATTGAATCCACCCTCCTGAACTGTAGGACCTCAAGCTCTTCCTCCAGCATTCCAGGTGTCCTACTTGTTAAACTAGCCTAACTGTCCCAGTCCCCTCGGACTTCTGCCGCCAATCTTTGGCAGTCAAATGCCTTAAAGAAGTGATCTACTTTGCAGGACCCGTGGCCTCGCACTCTCATTGGCCCCAGGCTTCCCTCCAAGATCACTCCCCAATTCCATAGTCCCCTCAGCTCCCCTCCCTCACCTCTCCTTGGCATTGGGTGATCGCTTGTGCTGTGGGAACACCCCAGGGATTCTCCCACTTCTCATCTTCTTCCTCTGGCATCAGAAACACGGCCCTCACTCCCTTAAGCCATGACTGAGCCACTGCCGACACATCCTGCCTGCCCTGAGTCCAGTCCTCTGGATCGGTCCACCTTAGTGAGGCAGGCGAAGTCCCCTTCCCAGAGTCAGAGCTCACTAGAGCCTGGCGGTGGTCCCACTGCCCCGAAACAACAAGGCCTAGGGGCTGTGGGCGGCAGCAGGAACCTTGTGTCTTTGGCTTCTCTCCCACCTGAGCTTCCCCTGGTCTTGCCATCCCCAGCCCTAACCCAGCTCCTTGCCAGCTTATTACAAAGAGAGATGTCATCTTTTGTCCTACCCCTTCCCTTCAGCCACAGTGACAAACTGGTGGTTCACAACACATTTTGTTTGGACTGCCATACTTTTTAAAAGTTTCAATTAGTTGCTATCATTTAATAATTAACCAATTTCACTTAAGAATCCAGACTTCTAGTTTCTTTTGAAAAATCAGAAGATCTGACAACACAGGCCCACATTCCTACACGGTGGCAACCAGCTAGAGCTGCTCTCAGTTGTCCCCTTTCTGTGGGGCTTGCTCTCTGGTTTCTGTACTTTAAGCCTCCCAATGGCCCTGGCCACTCAAATCAGCAGCCTGGCCTCTAAACCATATCTCTGCATGAGGCGGTCCTGGAGGAAGGAACAAAAGCCCTCAGGTCTCAGCATGCAAAGGGGGGCAGAGCAGGGCAAGCAGAGGCAGGGTGGAGAGTCCCGGTTGGGAGCCACATCCCAGCCTCTCTCCATCACTGTTTATTGCTAGCAGCATCCCAGGCACCCTGTGTGTCTTGTCCTGGCTCAAGCCTGCCTCTGGGGGCCAGGCTGCTGCAAACACGTAGCCTGCAGACCACTCCACATCCTACTGGAGCTGGGCCCAGGGCCTGAGGCTTTGTCCAGCGCCTGAATAGCAGTGTGGCCTGTAGGTACAAGCCTCCTTACTGTCCAGCCAACTCAGCCAAATGTGCACCAGGGGGTAGCAGCCTTGTCACAGTCCAACATGATGTTGAGAACAGTGCACGGGGCCCCACCCACAGACAGGGCTGTACGAGCATCCACACGGTACTTCACAGTGTTCAGACCTCCCTCCCGGTCCACCTTGAATTGTTCCTGGGAAGGAAAAGGGGAGAGAGCATATACTCAGGGCTTTGTGGGTGCCAGCTGTATATGGATGCCAATGACCTCATCATCAGAGGTTCTGTGACCCCACTGAAGAGAGGAGTGACGCCCACAGCCGTGAAGGCTTGCCCACAGCTGTATGCCCCAGTAAGCAGGAGAGCAGGGGTTTTCAGTTGACTAGTATGGCTCCTAGAGAAGAGCTGTTTGAGGGATGGGAACTCTTGGGTTGCAGGTCTGCCTGGGATTCTGGCACCTTCAGCTGAGTCCCCTCCACCCAGCCTGCGTGGGGGTCATCTGACCCAGGTCCCAGGTCCCATAGCAACCACCAACCAGGGAAGGGTACCCAAACAAAATGTCATCGACTGAGCTGGGCCAAAAAGGAGTGGGTAGGGCCATTTGAACCCAAGTAGAACTTGGTGAAACGCTTGGGCCTGCTGGCTCCCCCGTGCCATCGCCTATCCATGCCTGATCAGGGAACCAGTCAGCACCTGTTTTTGAGCTGCAATGCGCTTCTGGTCCCTCTTCCGCCAGGCTGGGTCATGCAGGTGGCGAAATGTCTTGTATCCAGTTGTGATTCCCGAGGGGCGGAATAGCTGAGGAGGCCAAAGGAAGTTGGGTTAGGCTGCCCCTCCTGGAGCCCTGGCCCTCGCTACTAGTCCTCTGGGGTCCCACTGCCTGCCACAGGCCACAGGCAAGGGCCTGTATTCCCATTATGCAGAAGAGGTGAGCTAAGTTGGGGGCAGGACTAGGATCAGAACCAGCTGAGGATCTCCAAGCTGAGGGTAGAGAAGGGAGCTTCAGGGTGGCCACGATGGCTGAGGTGGTGGTAGGGGACCTGGGGGTGTTACCTGGAGCCCAGCTCCTTTGATGCGCCGGTAGAATTCATCGTCCTCACGGCCCCAGCCCCAGAAGCGGTTGGACATCCCGTTGCACTAACACAGAGACAGAGAGCATCACTTGCCTCATCCGCCCAGTGTGCTCTTTGGTCTCTTACCTCTCAGAAGTACCCAGTCTCCTTTCCTCCTCCCCTGGAAGTTTTCAGGGGACACCGATGCTCACAGTTCCCACAACCTCTGCAGTATTGGGGGGACAGTCAGCACATCCCAGTCCCTGTGCCTGGAACTTGTGTGAGATGATTTGTTTCCCCAAAATATCTGACTGGCAGGAGGGCACCTCTCTGGGTGGCTGGTAAAGGGCAGAAGTATCAATTCCTGCTTGCCCCTCCCCATTTCTTCTGGGCTCAGCCCTGGCTTCTTCCTCTGTGTGGGAGAGGAACAGTTGGGCTCTATGGCAGATACCAAGTTTCGCTACCAGATTAGGGACTTCATTTACATAAAGCTGGCTTTAGTCTTGTGAGGAGCAGGAGACTCAGGTCGAAGCTACTCAGTTCTTCTCCTCTCCCTGCTCCCCACACCCCCCCACCCATCCCCTCGCCACAGTGACTAACTCAGGGATGGGCCCAGGACACAAGTCAGGCCAATCACGAGCCTGTGCGGTGTGGCTCGGGGACTCCTGTCTGGCTGTTGGAGAGGGAGCTCCCTCTTCCAGTGGACTTGGGCGTAGACAGATACAGATTGCAACCACAACCACCAACCCTCACCCTGAGTATCTGGAAAGAAATCCTGCCTAAAGAAGGCAGAAATGAGGAAAGAGAAATGGTGCCCTAGTGACACTGTCTGAGAGGCTGGGCAAGCCACACAGGAAGCAACACCCTCCTTTAAGCCCCAACCAGACTTATCCATTTTACGACCCAATGAACCCAACTTTTATGAAGCCAACTTTCACGGGCTTTCTGTGCTGCGCCTGAATCCACCCTAACTGACCTGCTTGCTCCTGCTCTTCTCTCCTGTCTCTGGCTGCTCCTGGGTTCCCTGCTGGGCCCCAGAACTGCCCTCCTCCTGTCAGTGCCCCCACCCAGTGGGAGCTCCCTGGCTCAGCAGAACAGGCTGGCTGGGCCTCACCAGCTGGTAGTGCTGCTTGGAGAGCAGCAGGATGCCGCCGACATAGGTCTTGTAGTGGTAGAGCGGGTGGAGCTCTGGGGAGGCCACATGGAAGGGCCCTGCCTCAGGGAAGCCATAGTCCAGCTCCTCGTTGAGAGGGAGCAGGTCCACGTCGTGCATGGCGATGTAGTCTGTGCTGTTGCTGCTCTCCAGGAAGCCCACATTGATGAGTGCCGCCCGGTTGAACCTGTACAGAACGGCCAAGGCTGGGCAGGGTACGGGCAGCGAGCTGGCTCTCCCCCAGACTCTGCAGGAGAGCCCGTCCTCTCCACCACCCACCCTGGGGCCTATGCTGCCCTCCCGGCCGATACTGATTTCACTGTGGAGCTATCCAGCGTCACATCTGCTCCTCCATTCATTGCCCAAATGTTTACTGAGCTCCTACTATGTGCCAGAAACTGTTGAGAGCATAGGATTTAACAGTGAGAAATCAAAGCCCTGCCCTCAAGGAGTTGATATTTGAATAACAGGAGACAAAAATAAACAAATAAATACTTAAAAAGCCAGATAGTGCTGTAGAGAAAAGTAAAGCAGGAGGTCAAAGCATGAGGCAGTTGTTCTTTAAGACAGGTGGTCAGGGTAACAGGGTGAAGGGTGAGTAGAAACCTGAAGGCTGGAGGGAATGAGCCCTATGGAAATCAGGGGGAGGGGGCTCTGAGCAGAGGAGAGAGTGCCTAGCAAGGCCGAGGCACCAATGTGGCCGGGCTGTGAGTGAGTGGGGCACAGAGGATGAGGTCATAAGGTGACGGACCCCTGATGGGCTTAGGCTTTGGCTGTGAAGAGATGGGGGGCCACTGGACAGCTCAGAGCAGAGGCGTGACACACTGTGACTTAGGGTGCAACAGAATCACTCTAGTTGGGGTGTTGAGAGGAGACTGGAGGACCGAGGTGGAAGCATACAGGTGAGTTGAGAGGCCATTACAATAATTTAGGCAAAAGATGATGGTGATTTAGCTCAGGGAGGTGGCAGTGAAGACGGTGAGAAGTGGGCAGATTCTAGATGGATTCTGCTGACGAACTGGATGTCTCATGTGAGGCAGAAAGAAAAGTGGAGAATGATTCCAAGGCTTTTTGGGCTTAGTAACTGGAAACATGGAGTTGGCATTTCCTGGTGGGGGAGGAGGCAGGGGAAGCTGGTCTGGGGCAGGTGGGATATCAGGAATTCAGCTTTGATTAAGTTAAGCTTGAGGTGCTTCAGAGACCAGCAAATGGAGAGCTGCGCAACTAGATGGATGTGCAGGTCTGGAGTTCAGGAGAGAAGTCTGGGCTGGGAATACAGCCTCTGGAGTCACCAGAGTAGAGATGGGACCTAACGCTCTGAGCTTGGATGAGATCCCCAGGGAGTGACTGTAGCCAGCAAGGAGACACTCAGGAGCACTGAGACCGAGAGACCAGGGAGCTGAGGCAGAACCTGGAAAGAAGGAGGGGAGGGCAGCCAGTGAGAAAGGAGGAGACTCAGAGAGGGCTGCCCCGGAAGTCAGACAGAGGTGTTTGAGGAAGGAAGAAGTAATCCATTTGGCAAATGCTGCCGAGAAGTCTACAGGATGAAGGATGATTAACAAGCTTCATTGGTGATGTCAGTGAAAGCTGTTTTAGCAATGAGGGGAGAAATGGGAGGAGTTTTGCTATAAAGGGGAGCAGAGAAATGAGGTGATAGTGTGGGCGATGTGCAATTTTGTATGCTGATGCAAATGACCCAGAAAGAAAGAAAAACTTGATCATGTAGGACAGAAAATGGCCCACAGCTGGAGTGATGTCCTTGAGTAGGAGACGAGAAAGGGAGCCAGTGCCAGTGGAAGAGCTGGCCCCAGGAGAGCTGGGACAAGGCATCAAAAGCAACCATGCACAGAAGCTGGTCCACAGGGCCAGGGGTTGGGGACTTGCACAAGTTTTCTTCCAGTTGGTTCTGTTTTCTCAAAAAGAAAGTAAAGTTGGGGGAAGGATGGGTGAGGAGAGGGGAAGGGAAGAAGACTAGAGGAATTTGAGGCTTTCAGGCAGGGCTGAGGAGCTTCCTGGGCTCAATGTCTCCAGTCACAGGAGCTGCCCAGGAGCAGGTGTAAACGAAACAGTCAGGTTTCACCAGGCAGAAGTTGTGCCAGGCAGAAAGGGGCAAAGGAATTGAGATATGTGCAGGGGAGTGATTTTAACAATGAGCCATGGAATCCAAGTTAGGTCAGGAGAAAGTGAGGACAAGGAGAGTGGACAGTGAAAATTGGGAGCATCGATGGGCTCTCCCTGGAGCACACTCACCTGTCTTCCCTCTCAGGTGTGCATCTTTACTTTTCTCTCCTAAACTCTAAGAATCCCATGAGACTTGCAACCAGAGGAGCAATGGCAGCGGCAGCTCATCCCTGGCTTACACCCTGAACTGTCTCCAAGGCCCCCTTCTCTCTGACTTTTCAGTGAGATAACCAACCTTGCCTTGGCTCACTTCTTTCCTATAATGTGTCTAGAGAGCCAAGCAGATCACCACCAAGGCTATCTCCTGTTGCTTCTCCTGTCCTAGACTTCAGCGAGCTAAAAACAGCCTGCCTTGGCCCACTTCTTTCACTGTAACTTTTTTTGCTGTTAATCCTCACCAGAGGATATTTTTTCCATTGATTCCTAGAGAGAGTGGAAGGGGAGAGAGAGACACACACATTGATTGGTTGCCTCCTATCTGTGCTCCGACTGGGACCAGGGATTGAACCTGCAATTGTGGTACGTGCCTCTGACCTTGAATTGAACCCAAGACCCTTTGGTCTGCAGGTTGACTCTCTAACCACTGAGAAAAACTGGCCAGGACTTTCACTGTGACTTTACTTCTCAGTGAATTTACTCAGCCAAGCGTGGCCCACTTCTTTCCTATAACGGTTCTAGAGAGCCAAAGCAGAGCACTTTGTTGGGGCGCTCTCTCTCTCTCGCTCTCTCTCTCTCTCTCTCTCTCTCTCTTTTCTATTGTTTCCTCTACCCTAAGCCCTTCCTTTGTTTCACTGTCCCCCGCTTTAATAAAGGTATTCTCAAAATAAAAAAAGAAAATTGGGGGTGGTGGGCACATGGTCCTATATACAGATTTTATAAATTAGTAATCCACACATGTAACCTATATGTTCATGTAGACTAATGTCACCCCAATAAGATAGGAAGGAAGGAAGGAAGGAAGGAAGGAAGGAAGGAAGGAAGGAAGGGAGGAAGGAAGGAAGGGAAGGAAGGAAGGAAGGAAGGAAGGAAGGAAGGAAGGAAGGAAGGAAAAGAAAGAAAATTGGGAGCATCCTGGACTACAGGGCCTGGTGGGGTCCAGGAACTGTTGGGAGTTCCCAGAGGGAGGGAATTGGAAGGAAAGGTGGGGTAGAGTGTGAGATGCTTCGATTGTGATTATGGAGAAAAGATTTTGGTAAGTGCAAAGATTTCAGGATAATGCCAGACTGTGAACAACTTTAAAGCCATTGTATTGACACTCCCTTCGCCTAATCCTTACCACCAATCCCCTGGCAAGCCCTGTATGTGCTTTCTCCATTCCTTCTACATGCTGGCCAAGTCGCCATCATCTCAGACAACTGCAGTGACCACCCACAGCTCTCCCTGCTCCTCCTCTTGTCCTGGTATAATCTACTCCATGTACAGCACTCCCATTTTAAAATGGAAATCAGATCAGGGCCTTCCCCAGCCCCAAACTTTCCCAAAAGATTTCTGTCACCCCCAGTGAGAAGGGTCCCACCTCCCTCCCTCCTGCCACTGACCCAGGTGCCCTTCACAGGTCTGAGGCCCAACAGCATTGGGCTGCCGCCAGGAAAGGGAGCAGGCCCTGAAAGGCCTGGACAAGGTGAGGCCCCTGGAGAGGGGAGCAGGGTCGGGTAGTCCCTACCTGAAATGATCCACCTGGTTGAGCACGTAGATGTGGTGTGGGATCTTCTTCCTGATCAGGAAGCGATGCATGTGGGGCACAAAGACCAGGAGCTCCTCAAAGCGTTCTCGGAAGGGCACCAGCACTGCCAGGCGGTGGGGGCCCCATGACGGATCTTCTTCCCAGTGCTCAGGGGGCGGCTCTGGGGGACAGGCCCGGGGTGGACCTGGGGTTTCCTGCCCTTGTCCCTTGGCTGCCCAGGCCATGTCACCAGAGCAGCTGAGCTGCAGCCAGAGCAGGGAGAGGAAGCCCAGTAAGAGACAGGCAACGAAGAGGTGGAAGACGGAGCATTTCCGGGGAAGGCTGCTGGGAAGAAGCCTGGACCTGGGACAAGAGCAGGGATGGTCAGAAGGGCAGGTCTGGTCTGGGATTCTGTCACAGACCCCTTCTCTGGCTTCCCCACAAGTAGGGCTGGTCTGCCTAAGCACCTGTGAATTAGTGCAGAAGCAACTTTAATGCTTTTGTTCATGCTGCTACCATGTGTCAGAATACAGCCCATGCCCCCACCTCCAGAAAGCCCTCTGACCACTCTTGGGTCGCAGAGCTGCCCATTCCTTGATGCTTTCTTCTTTTCTGTGAATGAACCCTGGCCAGACCATGAAGGCTGGGATGAGGCTCCTTGTATCTTGCACTTGCCCCTCCCCAAGACAGGGGTTCCCGACCTGAGCTGATGGCAGGAGCCTGGACTTAGAGATCTCACCCACTGCCTTCCACACCCTGCATGTTCACCACCTGCTGAAACGTTGGCTTCATCCTGCTTCTCACACCAGAAAGCTCCCCAAGATCTGGGTCTGTGCTGGCATCAATCACCAGTAAAAAACCCAATGTTATTTTCGGAAGATCAGGCCTGCCCCCAAACCAATGCAAGGCCCAAAATGACAGTGGCAGCTCACTAACAAGTCTCAAAGCTTCAGTCCAACAGGCAGCCCATGGGACAAGAGTTGAGAGATGGCGTAGGGCAAGAAAGATTGGGGCTTGGGCTAGCACCCGGGCTCATTTCAGAAACTGGGAAGACAGCTGGCATCTTAAACACTGAGGTAGTGCTGAGAGATTGGCCTTTAGGTTAGAAAGTACAAAAAAACAAGTGTAATTCACCTGATTCTTTTGCCTCTCTCTCTAGGAGTTCCTGAGGGTAGTGAAGGAGGAGCTGGGGAATCCAAGAAAAGGGAGGCTTCCTCTGCAGGGCTCCCCATGAAGTAATCAGCAAAGCAACCTGTCTATAACCTCTATGAGTCACCAAGTAGCTACCAGGCTTATAGATTCTACTTCCTAAGTGTCCCATGACCCTTCCTCACCCACTGCCTTTCTTCTGTGCTTGGGTCTCATTGGTCCTTGCCCAGCTCAGACCTCTTCAATCTCATGGATGATCCTCTTCTGTTTACAAGAAAAAGACCAAATTCCTTGGTCTGACAGTCAAACCCCTGTGACCTGGCCCCATCTCGTTGCCCCTTACCACTCATCCAATGCTATAATTTGGCCAACTCTGAGCTCCTCTGCTCACCATATTCCTTCCTGCTCCAGCCCTCACACAGCCTGATGCTTCTGCCTGAAATGCCCTTCCTATTTTATCTGTCTGAAAGCCCCTCACTGATCCTTCAGGGCCAAACTCCAATGTCATGGCCAGCACTGCCCATCTTCTCACGTATACAAACTGAGATACATGCACCTTCTATGCTTCCATGGCATCTGGTACTTCACCCCTTGGAGTACTTAGAGGTTTATAATCACCCAAGTCCCTGCTTGTCTTCCCCATAAATAATAAGGTTCCTGTCTGTGGCTGCAGCACCAGACACACAGCAGAGGGCATGCGAAGTGAGCTACAGGAAGGGTTCAAGCAGCCAGGGCATGCTTTAAGTTATGCAGTTAGAGCCACACCAAGTCCTGCCTCTCTATAGTGGCACAACTGCCAACCAGAAAGCCAGCAGTCCTGAAGCCAGGTCCCACACACAGCAGAGAGATGGCTGGGTAGGACACCCTCACAGGGGGCTTCTGACTTACCCCCCATTGTCCTGTGGTGGGGGTTTCCGATGGGGAGCAGAACCCAATCCTACAAGTGGCCTGGGAAGGCTGGAGTCTCTACTGATTCTCCCTCTGAGCTCTTTCTGGGGGTGAGGTGGAGACCGGGGAGGTGGACATGGGGAACTATCCCACCTTCAGGGGAAGAAGCAATGACCATTACCCAGGGTATGGCACGAACTGGGCACTCCATGCCCTTTCACATGCTGTTTCCTTGGTTTAACTTTCTCTTCCTTCCTACCAGCATCCCATCCCCATTGGGTACTCTCATCCAGAGCTGTTAAAAGTCTAAAGTGCAGAACAGCTTAATTCAGAGCCGAATCCCAATTCCTTGGGACAGTGGACAACACTGAGAAGTTGCCCTGATGCCACATGATGGCAAACTCCAGATCTGTAGTCCCATCGGCTCCCAGGCCCAGGCCACCCTGCTCTGAGGAGCAAACCAGATGAGGTTTTTTTCTCCTTCTTCAGTCTGTGCCCAAGACTAGGAAAGAGAAGTTTCAAACCGAGGCAGGCTGGCTCCGCAGCCAGCACTCTTCATTGCTACATTAGCCTGCATCTGTTGCATGGACCTTTGTACCCCTGTGTCAAAAGCGAGAAGAGACATCAGTAACTTTTTCTGAGAACACAGTGTTTGTCCAAAGGTTTATGAAAAGGGATCAGGAAATGAAAATTTTCCTCCACTACCTTTCCTTTCTTCTCTCACCCAAATCGTAGTGATGTAAGCTTTGAATACTCAAATCTCTGATGACAGCACCTCCAAATGGCAAGGGTAAGTGGAAGATACCTCCTCTATGCCAGGCACAGTATCAAGGATTTTACGTTTGTCTCCTTCAGTCCTCATATAGCTCTCTTCCCGGTTTCAGAGATGGGAAAGCTGAAGTCGGAAAGATTAAGTGATATGTTTCTGGTCACATGGCAATTAAAGAGGATTTCTGCCCAGGGCTAACTCGACAGTTCTGGCTTTCTTTCTATTATAGTCCTGTCTTCTTACTTCAACACCAACTCTGAAAAATCCCCAAAGATAAAGAGTTGTGCCCACTATATCCCAGAACCACTTGGCACATGGCCAAGTTAAGAGATCTAAAGAGAACGAGGTGTCATTCGCTGGGTAAAGACTCACTATGTGCCCTGACCAGTTTGGCTCAGTGGATAGAGTGACGGCCTGCAGACTGAGGGGTCCCAGGTTCAAATCCGATCAAGGGCATGTACCTTGGTTGCAGGCTCATCCCCAGTAGGGCGTGTGCAGGAAGCAGCTGATCGATGTTTCTAACTCTCTATTCCTCTCCCTCTCTGTAAAAAAATCAATAATATATATATATATTTTATTTTTTTTTAAAAAGACTCACTATGTGTTCTAGGTGAGAAGAGTTCTGGGGGCACATCTCAAGATTGAAGTGTCCTCCCAAATGTAGACAACTACAAAGCTCCACCTCCCCGATTCTGCTTCAGTGGTAAACATTAGCTAAGGCCTGGGCCAGGCCATACCTAACCCGGAGGAGGCTCCGTGCAAGTGCGGCTGCAGGCGGTGAACCAGCGCTGCGGGAGGAGGCCCACTAGCCGGGCAGCGGGCAGCCGGGCAGCGGGACAGAGCTGCTGTTCGGCGCGTTTCCTTGGGTGGCCCAGAAAGGAAGGGGAAGGGCGAAGGAGGGAGGGTCTCCGCTACATGGAGGTGATGGGGAGGTGGAAACAGAGAAATGGAACACAGACTCCTAGACCGGGGACAGAAAGACAGAGATCCATTCAGCGAGGTCAACGGAGTCACTGACCAGCACTCAGATAGGGAGCGGCCGGAGGAGAAACTCCTGAGAACACGACTTTGCAAAGAGAGAACCAGGAACTCACAAAGGGAAGTCAGCGGAGAAACAGACCCACGGGTGACAGAGCCCTGCAGAGTGACAGAGACCCACACGGAGACAGACACGCACTCCCGAGACCCAGTGACCCACGATGAAAACCACAGACCCTCAGAGCGCCCCGCAGAGACGAGTCGCGACGGCCTCCGGCTCCTAGATTCCGCCCCGCGGCCGGTAAAGATCGGCACCCGGAGGACAGGGCCCGGGGCCGCCGCCGCTCACCTGCCGTCCTCCCAGGGCAGCTGCGCCGCTTTCCTCCGGGAGGGGAACATCGTGGGGGGAGGCGGCCGCGCATGGGGCTCGAGCTCCCAGCCCGGCGGGCCGGCCTCCTGGGCCTACGCGGCACCTCCGCCTCCCGCCCCGCCCCTACCCGTCCCCCAGCCCCTCGGTCCTGCGGGTCCTCCGCTCCGGCCGCGCCGTCTGCTCCCCGGAGCTGTGGCGACAAAGGTTCCGCCTGTGGAGAAACACGCGAGCACGGCTACCACTGGACTGCTAACTGCCCCCGCTTCCTAACATCCCGAGACACTGAGGCCCCAGAGGGGGCTCAAGTCACTGGGTTGGGGCAGGACTTTCAAACCGGCGCCCTGGGGTTATTTGCATCTTCCTCCTCTTCCCAAGGGAAGGCGAGGAGCGTCTGGGCCTCCTGGCTGTCAACTCAGGTGCATTCTTCCTCTGCAACAAGCTTGGAGGACCGAAAAGCCAAGCTCAGGGCTTAGTCTTGCGTTCAAGAGATACCCCATGGAGTTAGGAGCCTGGCACTACAGACCGATGGACTGGATTCGAAACTTGACTCTGCCAATTCAGCTATGTGTGGGGGCAAAACAATCTCTGTTCCCTCTCCTAAGTATACGTATATACCGTGCCTGATCTACATGATTGCTGTGAGGACTAAAGGAAAAAATAAACGTGGTAGAGAGATAGACACAATAGATTTAGATTTAGTTGTCTCTTTGGGCTTCTCTTGGCGGTGACAGTTTCTCACTTTCATAGAGGGGATCAGAAAAAGGACATAGGTAACAAGTCAGGAAATCTGCATTAAGTATGGATTTTAGTTAAAAATAATGTATTATTAGATTAATATTTTATAAAATTGTTTTTTATTGATTTCAGAGAGGAGATATAAATGATGAGAGAAGCATCTATGGCTACTACCTCCTGCATGCCCCCTACTGGGGATCAGCCTGCAACCTTGGCATGTGCTCTGACCGGGAATCAAACTGTGACTTCCTGGTTCATGGGACAACGCTCAAACAATTGAGTCACTAGCCTGACTACATTCATTAATTTCTAACAAATGTACCATACTAATACATGACGTTAATAATAGGAGAAACTCCCTGATTGGGTTACAGGCTCCATCCTCAGTAGGGGGCATGCAAGAGGCAGCTGATTCCACGCTACTGGTTAAGCCCATCAATATCCTTATCCCTACCTACCCAGGGATTTCTGTCCTTCCCACACCTGCAGCATTCCTGTTCAAAGAACTGCATTCTGAATAGGCATTTCCTTGCAGCACCATGACAAGTCTATTCTGAGTCCACCTACTCTGGAAAGGTAGGGAGGCACTTCATGAGGGAGCAGAGGCACAGAGGAAGTGGTGTGAATTTGAACCCCAGCCCAATATACTTGTTGGATATCCTTGGGCAAAACCACTACCCTCTGCTGCAGGAAGGGATGGAGAGGATGAAAAGAATGAAGTTCAGCCTCGTGAGTGTGGCTATTTGGATGAGCATTGACCCATGAACCAGGAAGTCACAGTTCAATTCCCAGTCAGGGCACATGCCCAGGTTGCCAGCTCAATCCCCAGTAGGGGACATGCAGGAGGCAGCTGATCCATGATGTTTCTCTCATCATTGATGTTTCTATCCCTCCCTCTCCCTCTTTGAAATCAATAAAAATATATATTTAAAAAACAAAGATTGACATTCAAAGGTGGGTACTCATCTTGGAATGTGAAGTGCTTTGCCCACTGGAAGAACTGACATTCCCTGAAGTGTTATGCCCACTGATAGTAGAGTAACTTCACAGTGGACAAGAAGTCTCTTTTAAAATTTTTATTGGGAAACCAATGTAACAAACCTAGACTTATTGAAAATGAAATCAGTAACTAAGACTCTGCAGGCCCCATCCCCAGCCAGCACCAAGACCTCTGCTTGCCCTGATCCCAGTTCCTCAAGCCCCAAAAAGGACACCCAAGTGAAAAACCTGGAGTCAATCTTAGGACCATTTTCCCACTTTGCAACCCCCTCTATCCCACCCTCAATTGACACACACACCCTGGATCAGCAGGCTGGATTTAGGCCCAAGGAGGTTCTCAGGGTGGCAGAGAATCGCAGCTATATCCCAACCTGCCTAAAACCCCAAGTTATCAAGGAAGACAAAAAGTAAACTGGCTTGCCCACCCACTCCCCTCCCCGCAGCCACCCCAGATAACAGCCTCACATCCCTGATCAGTAACATTGTGATTCTGAGGTGCCAGTGGGGCTCCCAGTGGCTTCAATAGCCCCCTAGGAGATTACTGCAAAGGCCCAGAGCTCAGGAGAGAGGGCAGGCATTTGCCCCACCACCTGCTCAGTATTAGCCAGCTGAGCTGCTCCCCTTAGCTTGTGCCTGGGGTGCATGTGACCTCTCTTCCCTCCAGAACATCCATGGCTGGGAATCAGTCCTCCTGCCAGAGAGAAATCAGTTCCAGGAGGCCTCTTCTCCCCCAGCCTGGGAGGAAGGATGGCTACACCAGCTTCTTGGCTTCAAAGAAGCTCTTGAGGTGTCGCATCTGCCAGACACCGATGGCTACGAGGATGAGGGTCTGCAGAATGGACCACCACAGCACCCGTTGGTTGGTGCTCTCGCTGGTCTGCCGGAAGCGCTCCTCTCGCCACTGTGGGAGGGGAGAATGAAAGAAGAGCCTGAATTGGCTGGGCCCCACGTGGGTCCATTAGAACTGCTGGGTTACCTCCGTGGAATATGGCCCAGGGCCAACTAGTTCTGCACAGGTACCAGTCAAATGCTGCAAAGAGCCACCCGATGTGGGGACTGTCTTCACCCTCACTAGCCAGAGGACCTCAGGTAACTTAAGTCTGTTTTGCTCTGTCAGTTACAGACCGCCCAGGTCCTACCCTGGTGCTTAGAGAGGTAAAGTAGTGTGACATCACCATCAGACAGAGCTGTCCTGAAGTGCCCAGGAATGGGCTTGCTCTGAGTCCTCTCTGCTCAGGTCTCCCAACTGCTCCTTGAAGATTGTGGGCACAGGTTGCAAACTGGTGGTCCAGGGGCTGCACCTGGCCCATACGTGTGTGTTGTTTGGCTCACACAGTATTTTGCCAACATTTAAAACCAATGAATTTTTCACACAAAAACCTGGACCTCTAGCTCCTCTTAAAACCCAGAGCCAGCTAGCATTTCTACAAGGCTGTCCTCGGCTGGGACAGTAGCTGTCCCTGGTTAGGCAGGTTACTATCCTACCAATCCTTATGGTCATAGATCCACTAATGGAACCTGCTTACTCCTGGACACAGGTGAGTTTGAAACCCCTGGGATCACCTAGAGCCATGGAAATAGCACCCAAGTTTTGGTATCAATTTCTGCTGTCACTCTGTAACTGTGTAACCTAGGGCAATAACAGCCTTAAGAGACTGTCTCCTCAAATACAAAGAAGAGTTAATAATAGCCATCCCACCTTTTAAATTTACAAAGTAGACAACCTGGTATGTTTCATAATAAATCTGACATGTAACTCCTGGCTGAGCCAGTAGGCAGCTTCAGAGAAGAAGCCCACCGATCCTAGCCTAGCCACTCACCCGCTGATAGTTCTGTTCTTTCTGGATCTGCTCTACTTGCTCCACCAGCTGTCGTACTCGTAGTTGCAACTCACTCAACTTGTCTTTGGCAGCAATTTCTGCATAGTCATTGGCGTGTTCACCCACCTGAATGTCCAGATGGACTCTCTGTGAACAGACAAGGAAGAGAAAGACAATCAGGTAGCTCTGTTCCCTCTTCATGCCAAGGGCTGACAGTCAGTCCACCCACCTTCCTTAAATTGTTCATTAAGCCAACACTGATGAAGCCTCCTCAGTGTCCAGCTCTATGGGGCTCTAGACACACAGAAAAGAATAAGCCTTGGCTGATGCTCTGTCCAAGGTATACATGCAAAGAGCTCCATATACTCATCTCATACCCACAGTATCACCAGTCCCGTCCCAAACAGGGGCTGGTCCCATGTGAGTCCACTTACCAACATGCCTCCAGCAAAAAGGGAGAACTTGGTGGAATTGGAGTGAAGACAGATCTGATGCTCGCCAGGAGTATGGGACGTGAACGTGAACCTGCCTTCAGAGCCATACTGCCGGGCCAGAATGACCTGGAGAGAAAGGGCTTTAGTCAGAGTCACTGCATGGAGTTGGAAGGTGCTTAAGGCTTTAAGTGCCTCAAAAATCGGCAAGCAGAGCTGTAGACATCCCACAACACCAAAAGGTCCAAAGCTGCTCAGAAGCAGTTGCCAAAAGCTTGTCTGAAAACTATTTGGAATAGGGGCAAAAAAATCGGGCATAGCTTGGCATGTGACTGCTCCTGGGAAGAGTTTTCTTTTATTCATAGCTCATGCCCTTTCAATGACTTTGGTGTCATTCATTTTTTTAGGTGACAGCTAAAGGGATTTGAGGGTTTTGGTGTGTTTTTTGTTTGTTTGTTTTAATCGCTGTCAAAATTTAAAGCTGCTCATTCTTTTTGGAAAGTACACTGTTCTATGAAACCCTGAAGTGTAGATGTCACAGCTTTAGAGTTGGCAAAATTGTTTCTCAGCACCACAATTAATCCTCACACTTATAAAATAGATGAACTTGCATTACACAGACTAGTAAATGGCTTAGTGAAAGAATCATGCAGCAGTCAGTATGAGGCTGAGAGGAGAGCCAATATTCCAACAGTCTAAGCCAAGACTGGAGTAAAAACAGTCTAAGTCAAGTCTGGATTTCCCCACATAACCAACTGTTTTTTTACCAACTTAGCAGATGTGGAAACCAGGAGGGGAAGTGTCCGCGCCTGCTTGGTCTAGCGCTGAAGTGCAGAGCGGAGGGCTCCGCGGGGCAAAGGGGCCGCTCACCTTGTCTTCTGGGTCCTTCACCTCCACGAACATGCCCAGTCCGGGGGTGGCTGGCTGGTACTCCTCCCGCTGCTTGTCATACAGCTGCGTCCGGTAGTTTCCTGGAGGGAAGCCGGGCGAGCCCAGGTCAGCGGTGACTCCAGGTCCGCGGCATGGGGAGCTCGGCGAGGCCGGCTGCTCCCGGCTCTGGAGCGCTGCTGACCCTCCCACACCCCGCGCCCCGCTCCCACATTCTAGTTCCCAACTGTCCCCTTCCCCCCCGCACCTATAACCATGGTCTC